GCGTTTCACCTCTCCTCGTAAATTAACCATAACCCTTAAAACTAACGATTAAAATCGAAACGAGTAACGGGATAAGCGTTCAGCGGAATGGTATCGAAATAATCTAAACCGTCGGATTAACGGGGAACGAACGAATTATTCTCTGCCCACAACAGTGACCAACGCGTGCCAATTCGAGAGCGGGAGGTGTAGCAAGGATCAACTGTGCCTGCCGAACGGTCAAAATGGAAGATCGTGTGTGTGCGCGGACGACGCGGATGGACCTTGTACCGACAATCTGTAGCCACGTGCCACGTGATTGGCGGCCATCGAAGATGAAGGAAAGGGAAGGGGAGGAAGGCACGAGGAAGGCTCGGTCAAGCCGATCGAGACGATCCGCAAATATCTTTATGATATTTGACCGATCGCGTTGCGTTTTCGTTAGATTGTAACGTGTAAATTATAATATTACTACTTTCTATGATTGCATATAATTTTTATCGTCCAATCGTTGTTTCGAGTAACGCAATCTTTTGTATCCAAATATCCGGAGTCCGCGGCTGTATGAAGCCGGCTGTATGTATGCTGCGACTCGATCACGCGTTATTTAATAAAAGAAATAAAATAATAAAAAACGAGAGATAGAAATTATTTACGCGCGTTATTACACCCATATACATGTACAAAGTTACCCAAGTAACTTTGTGATTTTTTAAGCAAAAGTTGGTGATCGATAGAAGTTTCCGCGTGTCAAGTGGCGTTACTTGCGGACAAAATGGGAACTTTGTTCGAAGTAACTACGTCGAAAGAGAAGAAGAAGAAGAAGAAGAAGAAAAAAAGAAGAAGCAGAGTTTAATTTCCTGAGCGATTACCAGCATTAAGACGTCATTCTGCCACAGTTCCGGGAATAAGAAGAAAAGCAAAATCCCGTTCCCGTAAGATGACGATAATAAATCTTTCGATTTTCGAGCGGCATTCTTTATCCCCGTGAACGAATAAACCTCGGTGTAACGCGGCACGAAGGTAAGACCGTTAGGGAAGCCAATTACGATGTTCATTACCGGCGTAACAACCGGCCATTTCATTTTTCCGTCCTTGTATTACGTTAATAAGCAACTACTTAGAACCTAGTAACAAGAATAACACGGGCGAACCAGAACCACGGTATAAAAAAAGAAAAAAAAAAAAAGAAAAAAGTCTCGAATCTCTGCCCTCGGTCTTACCATCAATTATCCTTCTTCGCGAGATATATAATCTAAATATCTAAAAGCGGAGAAATCACGATCAGGGATTAAGGACAAAGGAGGGATGACGAGTGGCATCCATCCGTCTGTCGCAAAGGGAGAGTTTATCGACGAGCGATTCCCGACAAGACAATTAAATTTTCCTTACCGCAATCTCTTTGAAGAACGCGTCTAATTGGGCGACCGCAAATCGACGAGGAGTCGTCGGCGGTCGAATCGACGACGCGATTGTAGCCGAGGCAAAGCCGGAGGAGGAGGAGGAGGAGAAGCGAACCGAAAGGCGTGGAGAATCTTGCCTCTTGGTCCGTTCCAACCGCAGAGATAAGAATCTGCCAATGCGTCTCCAAGGAGTTTTCCCGTGTAACTCGACGGTTTAACCTGGGTTAACGGCGGAGAGAGAGAGAGAGAGAGAGAAAGAGAGAGACATCCGACGACGAAGGAAAGGAGGGGAAAGAGTGTCGTTTCGTCGTCTCCACGGGAAATTACACGCTTTCTCGCGTCCCCTCTCCGGATTCCCCTGCGCTTTTTCTCCGACGTTAATACAGGCCGACGTGTATTGTTACGAACAATACAAATATTTAACAACAACGGGCAAACAAAGGTACGAAAGGAGTTATTTGTTAAGTAAACACGCGAAAGGGGAACCAATATCGCGAAACGGTAGATATTACTTTCTTGCGAATATCGAATATACGAGTTCGATGCATTCCGATGGGAAAGGGAGGAAGTCGATTTATTTATCGAAACCTGGCATCCATCGATGAAACGGCGAATTCGTCGAACGAAAATCGTGAAATCGTGTGTAATTTCCACCAGGATTAGGAAAACGTTCAGGGGGGCGAGAATTCAATTGTTTCTCGCGATAACGAGAAAATAGGTTGGGCGTGAATCGAGACGGAATTTTTAAAGAATTCTTTTCGCCCGCCCGTTTGCGCGAGATTCGGAATAGCAGGGAAGAGCGGAGGGTAGAGTTAAAGTTAAGAAAACCGAGCTCGGATGGAAACAGTTCCGCATCCGCAGCGCCAACTTCCACCACTCCTGACCTACGATCCTTTTCGTTAAGGGGAATCCAGTGAGTCGGAGGCTAGACTACTGAGTGAACCGGTCAACGTTGATTCGCGCGGGGATGAAAGTTGGCGCGTTCAACGGTCGGGAGATCAAAAGGCTCCGTTTCCAATTTCAAATTTCTGTGTGCGCGCGTGAAGATCGGAAGGGGAGAAGTATCGCTGGCGATGCGTTTTTCCAGGCTGGAGGAAGAACCCGCGAAACGGCGGCCGCAATTTGCAATTTGCAAAAGAGCGGCCGCTTTTGTCGGTCGGTGAATGGCCGCGCGAATTGGAATACGTCGGTTAGACGTCTGCCAGTGACGGGTGCTCGATCAGCCAGGTTGCGCTCTCTGCCCTTTTGCCGGCCAACCGCCGACTTTCCTCTTCCGCTTAACGTCACCGCGTTCCTTTCTTTCTTTTTAATTTCCAAACGAATTTTCGCGGCCGCGAAATTCGACCGAAATCGAGACCTCTCTGCGATATCTTGTCTCCTCGCGAACCGGATCGTTGGACGAGGAGGAGATTTTTCTTTTCAGAGCGATTTCATTTTACCGTACGATAAATAGAATCGAGGAGCAAATAAGAGGAGAGTCGCTCAACAGTATCGTCAAAATTCCATCGGTAAATTCTGTTAACCTCTACCCGATATAAGCAGGCAACCACGCTCGTTCGATTGTCTCGCGTATTGGCTCGGTTTATGCTCGTATCGCGTCGGAATGAACGGCTGGCACAATCGTTATATACGGGTATACCCGCGTACGCGTATTTAATGAATGTCATGACGTAGCAAGTTTAATTACTCGATGAAACGCTTTACCCCCTGTATCGAACGTTCCCTTTGATCGTACGATCCTTCGCTTCGATGAATCGGACGAGCAATCGATACGCGATAAGAATATATATATATATATATATATATATGTATATCTGATTCTTTTTCTCCGTTAACCGAAAACGTCCCAAAGGAGACGCGGAGGAGCAATATGATCGGCAAACAGCCTCTCGTTACCATCTCTCCATCGCTTCGCGTCGATGCAAGATTATTTGCCGGATCTCGATTACGCTGTGTACACGATGGTTTGTTTGACCGCGGCCAACTTCCGTCGTGGTTCATTCAGCATCGCGTCTCCCTCTGTTTAATCTTACGTATCGTCTTATATATCGTCACATCGACGTCGAATTTCGATCCGACGGAAACGAAAAATTTCTTTCTTTCTTTCTTTCAACCATTCACTCGGTCGAGTCTCGTGGCGTTAGAGGGACATCCTCCCCCCTTTTTTTCGTGCGAAATCTTCCGCGATTTCTCCTCCCTTTTCCGGATGGGTGGACACAACAAACACAGGAAAGGGAGGGCAGGACAGCGGAAAAGGAAACGAGATTACGGCACTCGGCCCGGGCCGCGGTAACGGCAGTTGGAAAATAAGAAACGGCGTCAACGATTACGCGACGACAATTATCGGGGAACGCAATTACGACTACGCGCCACTGCCACGCCGTTGCCGCAAATTTCCTCCCGGCGAATCCGCTCCTCCACCGGGGTCCCTCCCCGTCCGCGCCGCGTGGTGGCCTCGCGAGGGGGTGGGCAGAGGGAGGGAGGAGAAGCGGGGAGAAGGGAAGGGAAGAGCGACGGTCAGCAGGCGAGGAAGGAAGAGAGGAGGCAGTGGTGGGTGGCCGCGAGGCGAGCGGGCGAACAGTCGAGCGGAGAGGTTCTCGCGCGGCGGCTCGCGTGAGCTCGCGCGGAACTCGCGACCAGGCGCCGCCGAGCCGTACCGGCGCGTCCAGTCCGCGTGCTCGCGCAGGAGGGGGCGAACGAAGAGGAGCCGCGGCGAGAGTCAGTCGGCGGTGAGACTCCGCGTGCGACATCTCGGTGGCCGTGGTGCCGTCTTTCCGTATCCTTCACTTCTACCCCGCTCTCTCTCTCTCTCTCTCTCTCATCGCCCCCGCGATTTCGCCGCGCGTATGTGTATGTGTATGTGAGTGACCTGGTGGGTGAGCTGGATCATCATCAGGAAGGGAAGGAACGGAAGGGTGCAACTTGTGTTTAAGTGGAACCCGATCGCTCGAGTAACGACGGAAAGAAAAGGAAAAGTGCGTTGTTCTCCCTTCTTCTTTTCTTTCTTTCTCTCTCTTTCTTTTCTTCCGACGAGGCACGAGTTTGCGCTTGATCGTTCGCACGAACAACGGGGTTCGTTAATCCCCGAGTTTATTAGGAATTATATTAGCAGGAAGGTTCGTTTTACGAAACGAAGGATTGCGAGCTTCTCGTTACATATCGTTCGATGATTCGGTCGGAGCAGAGACCGATGCACGGCCGCGACATAAATATCCACGAAAAATCTCGGCAGCCGGCCAAGCGGCCTCGAAAGATCGCCGCAGTTCGAGGGACGGGTTTGATAAGATAATTTAAAGAGGTTCCTCGAACGTTTCGTTCCACGGGAGGAGGGGAGGAGGGGAGGAGGAATTTTTCTTCGTCGAAGAGGAAATATTTCTACCCCGTAAAATATAACGCGCACAAATTTACGCGCGCACACACACACATATACATGCATTTATATCGTTCCGTTTTAATAATCGGGGAGGAGGAAACGATCCGATAATTGTCTCCGTATATCTCTTAACAAGCGAGGGTACGAGGGGGATGAGCGGGGGAAAATCCGGCGGCTAAAAAGAGCACGAGGCAGGAGGGGAGTGGTGGTTTTTCACGAAGTGGCTGTTCACGTGGTCATGCATATTCAGTCTGCCACGGGAAAAACAAACGAAATGAAAAGTTTATAGTAGGGGAGGGGAGGGACCTTCCCGGGAGGAAAAGTTCCGACGAGACGATTTTTCCCCCCTCTTTGTTCTTCCACCTCTTCCTTCTCGCGCTCGTGACGGGAATTAAACGAGCGTTTTTATTTCGTCGCCGGGATTAACAATCAGTTTGCGAAGCGGTACGAAGCGTAGAAGCCAGTCGGGAGTCGCGATTCTCGCGGAAAGGGAGATTCCGACGCAGTTTCCGTCGAACGAAAAGCGAACGCCCTTCCTCGCGCTTATCCCGTCGTCGCGGAGGAACGATCTTCGCGTGAAAACCTTTCGAACGAAGCGTTTCGTTCCGACGAGAAACTGGATAAAAATCGTGGGAGGTTGATTGGCGCGCGGGAGCGTTGAAAGTGACGCGAATCAAAGTGATAATCCATTCACGGCTTATCCAAGAACAGGCTTATCGGTTTTCAATTTACACCGATGTGCCTCGATACTTTGCCTCGAGGAATATTCGATCGACAGTCACGCCGGTGATACACCTCGATATACCTTCACGTCCGTCCCATAAAACACCTCCTCCTCCCTCTTCTCCTATCCATCCTCGAAAATTCCTTCTCTCTCTCTCTCTCTCTCTCTCTTCTCGTTTCCAAGCTTTTATCGAACCTTATACGCACCAACATTTTTGTTACACACCGACCGAATCATCGTCGAGCTCTCCTTCCCCCTTTCACCTCCACGATTCGAGATTTCGAGAATTGGAGAATACGAAACAATATCAATGCGCGCAGAGGTGACGGAGTAGCCGTTAGGAAACTGGTGGTGATCGAGGGAGGCCTCGACGAACCCTTAGCGATCAAGCGCAGCCCGTCCGCGTGGTTGAATCGGGGCACCGATATACGTCGCTCGTAGCCGCCACGTTCGGTCACGCGCCGGATGAGATCCCGAGCCGAGCGGTGGAGCGGGCGGCAACGTTGGTGGAGCGGGTGTGCGAGCGCGAGCGAGACGAGGCGAACAGGGAACGAGGCGGGTGGGACGCGCTCCGCCTCTGTGAAAAACTCGCGCGTGGCCCGCGCGTGCAAGGGCGCGGGGGCGCGGGACGACGAGGAGCGTGGTCGGAGGAGACGGGCCGGATCCACGGTGGAAGAAGCTGGGAGGAACGTTAAATGAATGTTGTTGCAAGGGGCGGGTGTGATCGTGAGTGTGGAAACGGTGCACGGCCGATTTCAATTCATAAATGCGCCAGAGGAGGAGCCCACAATGGTGGCTCGGCTCCCGCAACAAGTTCTACTGCTGCTCGTACTCGGTGAGTGGAACACGATCTCCGTCTGTATCCTATATTATATATATATGTATTTAGACTCGGTCCAATCGTCCTCTCCCTTCCCCCTCGAGCGAGCCACGAAAAATATCTTGGGCCGATCTTTCGCTCGAGGCCAAGGGGCCGCGCGTCGCGCTGCTACCTGTTTGATCGCGGTGGTGGTGGTGGTTTTTCGCTGATTCGAGGGAGATTCGAGGATTCGACGGTGGACCGAGGTCGGCACCGCGCTAACTCAAACATCCCAATTAGTANTTCGCTCGAGGCCAAGGGGCCGCGCGTCGCGCTGCTACCTGTTTGATCGTGGTGGTGGTGGTTTTTCGCTGATTCGAGGGAGATTCGAGGATTCGACGGTGGACCGAGGTCGGCACCGCGCTAACTCAAACATCCCAATTAGTATCGCGGAACGTTGCATTACGAATTTAATTATCGGTCACCGAGGGGATGGAAGCGTGTTGATGTGTCCCGTTAGGGGCGAAAGATTTTATTCCTCTCGTCGAACTCGTGTTGCGAACGCGGGTCAAATATACAGAATTTTGAACTTCGCCTCCGTCGATTCGATTAATATTCCTCGTTTAATCGGATTTATAACACGATTGATTCCTTCGTTTTCGAACGTAACGGATAGGAAATTTTAACGGGCCGATTCAACGATCGATCCCGTAATTTCTATCCGGGCCACCTTCTATTCGGCCAAGTTTGTCAAATAGTGTTAATTGTCCGGTATATCGATCGGACCTTCGTCAACGGACCCGCCTCTGTCGCTTTTGATTTCCGTCAATTCGTCGCCGTCTATCGATCGATCGTGCCTCCACGCGTCGTAAAAATCTTCTACCGGTCGGTTTCTCTCGGTCAATCAGCGTGTTCTCAACCACCGCGTATACAATTTCGCAGCAGTGTATCGTGCTTTCGACTCACCAACTCGAACGATTTGCCTTATTCTCGGCCAAGCGAAACCAGTAATGTTGACTGGGCGGTGAAAATAATAAATAAAACGTACCGATTTAACTGAATGAATATATTTAATTATACGTAATTGTGAAGAAATGGGTACCAACTATGAAGTAGTGATGTCGCTGGCAACATTCGAATAATAAAAATTAATAATAATAAAAAAATAAAATTTCTTCAGTAAACTTTAAATTCTATAATAAGCAAACTGTACTACTTTCAACGATGGTTGTTCCCATTCCCCCCCACGGTTCAGATATAAAAGGATTCGTTTCGTTTCTGAAAAGGGAGCGGCTTTCGGAAGGAGAATCGTTGGGAAGAAAATCTAGCTTTCTCCAATTATCGCTGGGAATTTCGACGTCTTCATTGTTCGCCTCGACATCGGTTCCCCTTATTCCATTCTTAAACCGTTCCGCGACGTTTAACCGCGGCGGTTTTTTGTCTTTGCCCTCCGGGCCAAAACGGGTGAAAAAAAAATTTCCACTTCGATCGACGAGCGAAAATACGATATCGCTCGGACGGCTAATCCGCCCGAAGAGGGACGCCGAGAAGTGACGTTTAATTAAGCAGGATTATTCGGGAAGTAGAAGTGAAACGAATAAAGTTTGCCTCGAGAAGGGTGGTACATCGTGTAAACTCCATTAAATATAAACGCGAGATCGGGAGGGTGGGGAGAATGTTGTTCTTGAGGCAAGAGATCCACAAGCAAAGGCAGTTTAACAAGGTTCCGGTAATTGCAAAATTATACGAAGCGTCGTGAGCAATCTGGAACGCGCGATCGAGACTTTGATGGTAATATTCTTTACGCTCCTGCCGGGGGAAAGGAAGAAATTATAATTTCCCCGTGGGGGAAGAGCGTGTTCGTTCTTCGAAATTCGCGAGGAACGTCGATTTGTCCGCGGCCGGATGCATCGAGCATCTATCGGGGAAATGCCAGGCTCGCGGCAAAGAAGACTGCATCGTTCAGATAAGTTTCAGCTAAGTCTCCGTCAAAGGGACTGCACATCGATCCGTGAAACGAAACTGTTTCCATTCCACGGAAAGAGAAAAGAGTGAGAGAGAGAGAGAGAGGGGGGGGGGGGCAAGTCTCGTCAAAGAGCGCAGCTGCATCGTTCTCGCGATTCAACCCACTCGATTGCCTTTTTATCACTCGAGCGACTTGTATCCGTCTCCCCTTTACGCGCCGTCTCACGACGGATGGAATACAAGCTCGTTCGCGACACGTGTCGCGTCGTTTCGCAATTCCGCGCGGAAACGGAGCGTCTATAGTTCAATCTCCCCCGTGATGTCAATCGTTGGCGAGAGGACAAGTTTCGCGTGGCGTTGCAGTTTTAAATCCGAGTCCGGTTTCGACGCAACAACGCTCGATGGTGAAAGAGAGAGGAGGGAACAGCATTGAAAACAATCCTCGCGGTGACTAAACTTCACTCTGACGAACGAATCCGCACGATTTATTCGCGGACCGGTTAATTTGTTTCCATTTCTAGATGAAACTTATTTACCTGCTTAATCGAACGATTAACCTTTGATTTTATTCCGTTAACCTTCGACCGAGCGAGAGTGGAAAAGGAAATAGGATATCCTTTTAAATTCAAAATTGGTTCGAATTGATACGAGGGTACAATGTACGGTAATCTGAGGATATTTTGCTCATTTGCTCCACGTTGCAAACAGGTGGGATTAACACGGCTCGAGTGTCGATACGATTTCGTTGATGACGCGGTACGGCCTAATTTCATCACCGATTCACAAAGGAACGTGGTAATCCGATTTCATCCGATTCGCGCTCCTCGGTGGAGAGTTCGGTGATAAAGCTCCGCTTTACATTTTTCATAACGAATTGATTGATTACACCGTTACGACGATAATCCTCTTCGGCCGGGTCATAAATTTCCACAGGAAAACGTAAGAGAGAAATAGAGAAAAGAAGGCAACCGCAATTTCAATGTCGAATACCATCCACGGATCCTCTGACGAATTGCTCGTCATCGAAAACGAACGTTCCATCCTCGACGATGTTTTTTATCTCCCTGTCGATTCGACTCCTCCCTTTTCCACCGTGATAATTACCGGTAGGCGATGATTGTTGCGCCGAAGCAATCCAAGAAGCGAACGAATTATCGTGTAACGGCCGGTCAATTTGCCCTGGATATACGTTCCCTCGTACGATTCATCGAGTCGAGTCGAGTCCTCGCTTCTCTCGATCTTCTTTTTTTCCCCTTTTTTTTCTCTCTTTTTTTCGTTCGCGGTAGATTCGCGATAGAGTTTTCCGCGATTTCCATCTGTCGCGTCTCCTCGAGCTGTCTCTGCCGAGATAGCGGGAAGTAGACACTTTTGAAAATCCTCTTTCCACCGAGTAAGCACATTATCGGCTTGCAGCTTCGTTACCGCTCGACGTTTTCATCTCTCGCGGAAATGGACCGCGATTCTCTTTGTTTCCACGATTCATAGAAAGCGGAGGAGGAAACGAGGTTCGATTCTATTTGACAACGCCCGTAACGCCGATGCGCGCGCGTTTTATCTCGAACGCCGCTCCTTTGGGCGCGCAGGAACAGATCGCTCGCTCTGCTCCAACCCTGCTCGTTCGCAGGATCCCCCTGTTGCTTTCCCTATCCTAACCCGCTACGGTTCGTTATTTTCTCCGGGACGGTGTATGGAAACTCGATACAAAACGAGGGCGAAGAATTCGAGCCGAATCGATGGATTTCGAAAGGGAGCTCGAATCATCCTTCCCTCCGCTCTTCTCTCTCTCTCTCTCTCTTCAAACTCTTCAACCCTTCTCTCTGAAAGGATTGGCACGCGGCTGCTCGTTAATAACCGAAATACCGTTTCTATCTTTACAGCTACTGAAACAGTGAATACACATCGGCGAAGAATCGATGAACGCGTTCGTTTTTGAACGAGCTCGCCTCACCTGTTATATTCTTTGTTTAAACGTACAAATCTCGACAATTTTGTCGCGCTGGGATGTGGAAATCATCGGATGTTCAAAGATTCATAACGTTCGTATACCTCACGGCGTCGATTTCACGACCGCTCGCAATTATCCACTTCCTCGGGCGTATACTCCCGAGTCGGTCGCATTTTTCACCCGTGACACCTGACGTCGACGTTGTCATCGCGGGTGAACGCTGGCAGCGACGTTAAGCATTTCAATATAGAGGGAAAGACGAATCTTGGCGCACAAAGGGGAAACTTATCCTCCCTCCCGATGTCGCCGTAACGCATTTATTACGAACCTTGTAACGCGAGGGAATAAAGGCGCTAGCGGCCTGATGAACTTGCGACCGTGGGGAAAACAATATGGAGACCTTGCGTCCTGGGATTTCCTCCGTTGACCAGGGATCGAGGTCAACCGATTTATTACGAAGGGATTCGCGAAAAATTATCGTCTCGGTTTATCGCGACGATAAATTGTCGACGAATGAAATGTGGAATGAATTTTTTCTACTCGTTTGAAAATTAATTCTCGGAGAGAATTGAATTTGAAGTAATTATTCGAGTTCCAGATACTTTTTCCCCCCAAAAAATAAAGACAAAAAATTCGTATAATTTATCTACTTGTAAAACTTGTAAAACTTGTAAAAACTTGTAACTTTAAATTATTTTTTACATTATTTTTTACACAGTTTTCAGTTTCGCGGAGACACGTTCCTGTTTACAAGCGTGATCGGAGGGTCGACGAGGGATTCGCAGAGATTAGGCAGATACGAGGAGGAAATAGCGATCGACGAGTTCGAAAATTTAATATCAGCCGGAGGAAAAGCTTGATAAACCCGGTTATCAGCTGTGGACCGGGTTAAAACCTTGAGCACCCTACGCCAACTTGCTCGAGCGAAGCTTTATTAAAGTGGATATACATATATGTATAGGGACAATTTGCAGCCTCTAATTGGCGATAAATAAGCCGTGTCACGACGTTGGTGGAAAGATACGGAAATGTATGGAAATTTAGGATTAGTACGCGAACGATGGATCGATTGCTCGTACGCGTTTGCAACGAGGCTTCGCCGCGGGATAATAATATTTTCGAAGGT